CTTGCTGAACTGTCACCCGCATCACAGTAAGGAGTTTGTGGCAATAGCTCTTTGGCAAAGCACCGCTTGTAAAGGGCGCCATCAGCGGAGAACCTGGACAATTTGTCTGGGCCACCGTTTCTATAGTCATCCAGACAGAAATCCCTCCGAAAACACGCTGTACATTCTCCGGTTTCTTGTTGAGAACGCAATTCTGAGTCTCGACACCGACGACGATCTCATTCGTGAACAAGTCACTAGTGTGAGAGTGGTTTAATAAGCTGCTCGGGCAGAAGCGACGGAATGGAATCTGCTCAGAGTCAAGCTCTGGAATTCATCACATTGTCTGGAGAGGGCAATACAACTATCGGGTATTCCGTTCCAGCGTAAGCATCGAACACAAGACAACATACGCTGTCTGCAATGGTATAGAGAGGGGAGTGGAAAGCCATACTCGCTCAATTGGCTCTTGAATGAGAAATACGGCTGGTGCTAGTCAATTTAGTTTTATGGTTCTTTATTCAAATTATAGTCTAGTCGTAGGTCTATATACAAGACATTCTTCCTCGTACAGGATTGTGTCACCATCCTTTCCGATGCTTTCCAGGGGCACGGAGATACGCGCCTCTGTTTGAAATCCAAAGCTCTGGTAGAATGGTACAGCATCCAGCGTGCTTTCCAAGGCAATAGGAATGTTCTCTTTCTTGCTGCGTTCAATTCCCCAGTTGACCAACAGGGACCCTGCTCCACGCAGGGCATAAGATGGGTCAGTCGCAATAAAGCTGAGGCCTGGACGGTGTAAGCAATCGCAATCAGACAACCGGATCGCACAAAACGTACGATAGCATGGTGTTCCCCCCATTATTTCGTCCGCTGCCTGCTCGACCTTCTCCGTCCAAGCGTCCAAAATAGCCATATTGGTGCCCTCAGGCCATACCCATGGCTCTTCCTCATATACCGCTGTCTCAGAAACGGGAAGACACCATTTGGCAAAGCTGACAACTCGATCATCATCCTCTCTAACTACTAGTACCTCCCATTGCGGATCTCGAATCTCTTTGATGACTTTGTCGACTAGCGACGTCCACAGCCCCTTTCGCACGGCCGGCGTGGGAAACTGGGCCAACAGCATGCCGTTGGTGTGAAATGCCGCCATGTGAATATCGGCGATGCGAGGAGCATCTGCTTCCGTGGCTGTATCAAGAGCGATGGCCATTTTAGAGCACTTCAGATTCGAAGGAGATGTGAAGTCAGACTCATTCCATAATCCCATCCTGAGCCCAGCGCTAAGAAGCGAGGGCGGCTGGCGGAATGGAGGAGTTGCGGGGTTGGCGGGGCAAGTATATATGCTCACCACAACCCGAGGAACCAGAATATCAGTTAATGTATTGCTGTCTCTATAACAAAAATACGAGGCAGATCTCTATAAATACTGACGGTCAGCTTCGTGTAGTATTACGATTGTTGACAGCGGTACTTGGGAGATCTAGTGGCTTGTCTTAACGGATCTGAACGGGGTCCTCGACTTGATGGAGGGATTTGCATTATTTAAGGGTCCCGGTATTACTATTTTAATGCAGACACTCAATTTTTCCCTCTGAGGTGTATACATTGCATTGGACTGGATGGTACTCCCTATAACTCCGAGGCTTTCAGCTTGCAATCAACGCCTATGAGAGTGGACTACTACTTGTGCATGTAGGAGCACCCCTCTATGACTATGTACGTTGCTATTCCTGAATCTCATTCGCGTCAAGCATTGTACCTTGCAACCGGAATTGAACCACATTATACCGATGCGTTAGTCCGTAAACCGGTATACCTAGTCGCAGAGAGATAGACTTGTCCATTGAAGGCTATCCCGAACTCCGTCCAGCGCCGTGGAATTCCGGACATTTGTAAAGATGAGATACCTATTTATATGAGATAGGAGCACAAGCAATCGTAAAAATATCACACACAATCAATTCTTGACATCTGCCCCTTATTCTACTAAGACAGACCTGCTAGAATGGACACAGCTAGGGAGGACAAAGCTGAAACAGGGCAAGCAGCATACATTGCACCATTGTCTACAACACCAGACAGTAAAACAGCAACTGAAGATGAGATCCAGGATCTGGAACATGTCACAGCCAAACTGCCAGCATGGGTTTAGCGTACTATAATAATTAGAATGGCAGAATAGTTTATGTATTATAGCACCCAGAGTCTCTTCTGTAAGTACAGAAGTATTCAACTTCTAAAGTATTGTAGGCATCTGACTAGTTTATAATTAAATACTATAGAGAACTATCTCCAGAATAGTCCAGGTGACCTCATACCTGGTGTGATGGGATTAGGAAAGTCTCATGCTATTATAGTCAATCTGGCTGTTACAGTTGTGGTGAATTTATTGCCGTTACTAGCATTAATCTATATACATAAAGAAATAACGGTGGAGAATGCTGAATAATCGCTTAATAATCGGCTGTTGTTCGCGAAATTCCCTTTTTCAGTTTAGCGTCCTATTTGTTTACTTTTACTCCTTAGGCCCGTGGCAAGAGGTTTTAATTCACTCCTACAGGTGTACATTCCCCTTCTCCTTCTACAAGTCCTTTATCTCTGGCAGTTGCTGCAGTTCCTACAGCTATTCCCCATCATCATAGTCACCCTTGGTTACAAGTTAGTGCGCTTGCATTTACGGACGTCGCCCTTCTTTAAGCTAGGGCTTTACTTACTAAGGTGTAGCATGAAAGGCATTTTACAGGTGCAATAGAAGGGGGTAGTTTAAATAAAAAATTTTGCATACCTGGATAGTTAAACTTCAGGGGGGGGGCGGCAGCCCTTATATACAAATCTATAGCCTATTAATATCTATCTTCAATAGAGCTGCAACACTTCCTTTATATTAATATTAAATAGCACCTGGATATCACCTGCTATTATCCTATTCTTTATACAGCCCTATTTAGTATACTATAATGTTCTTTTTACGCCCTGTAGCCCTATTCATCTCATTATTAAATACCTATTTCAGGTTCTTTAAATAGCATCTATATATTAACTACTATTATACAGTTTATTATGCGGCCCTGCAGCCCTATTCATATAATTTCTTTTAATAGCCTGGAGTATTAATCTAGGCTGATATTCTTCCATTACTTTAGTAAGCAGGTGTAACTTGGCGCAGCCAAAGCTGGCAGTGAGCAGAGCGAGCGCCCAGCCAGCTTGTCCTAGTTAATAGATATCTAGGGAGATATAAAGCTTTGTAAATTTTCATTGGGTACTATTTGATTTTATTCATGCTTGTCATGCCTGTTCTAACTACTGGCTTACAGAATCTACACTCTAGAATCTGCAGTCTTGTTTGGCACCTCATTTCACTCAGAGATGAGGAGCGGCATCGCTACAGGGTTTATATTGGGAAGTATTCTGATTGCTGTGGGACTGGGATGCATCCAGGCTTCAGTACAGCCTTTTATTGGCATGATGCTTGGTGATGTTCATTCAGCTGATACAGGGCACTGACTGCCTCTTCAGCTGGACCAATATACAGAACAGACTATGCGGATGAGAATCAGGAAGAATGGCCAGCGAGTGGTAGACAGTCGCGAGCTGACAGTCCAGTATATCTACAATGTTTACTATTGGTATGGAGAACCAATGTTTTCAGAAGGCAGATGACCAGTTACTGACCGACATGGTTCGTGATTCCAGGATGGTGAATGTTGGGTTACTAGGAAGCATTGCTACTACCTTGATGGAAAATTATATCAGCTTCTAGTCTGCATACCTGCAGATCTGTGTGCTGTGGTGCTTGCAGTGGTGATTGTCTATTTAGTGAGACCAAAGATTAGTATGACACTAAGGCATTCCAGGAATCTCAATTACTATGAATGATGGCTGATCCTGGTTTGACAGTCCATCCTGGCCCATAAGGGTCTGTTCTTCCCCGTGCAGCTCACTGCCTATGGTATTCTGTGTTGAGTGGATTCAGTTCTAGACATTACTAGGCCAGAGTACCAGCTAGAGAAGCACCAGTAAGTAGTGCCATAGGATAAGGAGTTTATTTCTAAGCTTTAAGATGCACTATCTATATTTAAAATCTAGTACTTCTCTCTAATACTTATTTATCTTATTAGATGTAGCTGCTAATAGCAGCAGTATTAGATGGCCTATTTTCTGGGTATGTATGGGATAGGGTGCTTAAGTCTCCATCTTGCAAGCTAGATAGATGGAAACCCAGGGGATCCCTAATAACCTGATCAAGTTGTTGAACCTAACTGCCTATGTGATCTTTAGTGTTCTTATCTAGAAATAGCTATATCACTTCTTTAAAAATATAAGATCTACTTCAGCCCCATTAAGTGCATCAGTCTGGGATTCTTTATCATGTTAGTGGCCATGGTGTATTCCATGGTTATGCAGGCTATTATCTATCAGTCTGGTCCCTGTTGCTCCTATCTGCTGTTGTGTGCCGTGTCTGGCAGCTGCACCCTGAACCAAGTCCACATCCTGCTTCAGCTGCTGATCTTTGTGACCTTTACCTTGGCTGAGGTGTTTTGCTAGCTGACTGGATCAGTGTATATATATTTACATGCCCTAAAGACCATGAAGTTGGTTCTGCAGGCGTGTTATATTAGCACTGCTGGAGTTATATATCTCTCTTAGGAATTGCTTTGTCTCTGCTAACTAGGGATCCTTTACTTGTGGCGCTATGGTCTGTGATAACCAGGATGATGTTCGCGACTGCCTGTGCTTTTCGGGTCGCATTCCGAAAGTACTAGGTGTGGATATGCTTGGTAGAGGTAGCATTAAAAAAAGAGTGATAGACATGTATGAATGGACAACAATACATAGATAACTAGATAGTGCTCTCCGTCCTCAGAAACAGATCATGCTCTAATGGCTGCAACATCGTGTGCCTTGACTTACGCGGATAGACAAGAAAGCTGGACCATGATAATGATGTCAAAGATACAGTGAACCCTTTCGTGCCGACCAGCCCACTTGTAACGAAGTATGAGTAAACAACTGTATCAGTGGCCATTCGCCCTTTTTACATCTCTCTTTCCAGGAAACTGCTGAAGAGCAAGAAGCTGCTTGTCCAGACGGGTCAATACCCTAGGCGCTACCCCCTCAGCTTCGTCATACACCATTTCGAAACACACGTTACCCTTGACTCGTATCCTCGTCTCGGTGGCGATGGTGACGACCAGGTTCATAACGTCCCGTGCCTCAACACTGAGCGTGTCGCCTTGGGGCATGCCAATGTCCCAGTACACTTTCCGAAAGGAGTCATTGCGTCCTTCATTCGCTTTTGGTAGAGTAAGATCAAATATCAAGTGAGAAAAGGGCGGGACCTTCATTGTTGCCTGTCTCCACGCCTTACTGAGGGGCCGGATATCGAGAAACTCGCTAGTGGAAGTGCCGTCGACACTACCGGTGGATCTGCGAGTGACGCGAGCAACGGGATTACGACAGGTTGCAAGCATATCAGGGTTTGCTAGAGGCTGTAGTAAAACCAGCTTGACCTTTCGGGTCCGCGGTGCTGGCTCTGGTGAGGGTCCCGAGGTTCCAGTGTTGAGGCTAGAGAGCCCAGCTGTAATATGAAACTCATTCAGATGATCAGGATCGGTGACAAGTTCTAATTCGGTCATGTTGAAGATCAGCGATGGGGAATTCCAGCTGAATTAAGAATGATTCGTCTTTATCATTGCACCGATGTCAAGATTTTCGATGAAGAGGGGTAAGTTGTAACGGCTAAATACAGGTGGAGTAAGGCACCACCACTTATACCCAGATGGTACAATCCCACGTGGAGGTCAGAGGCACATAATCATCAATATTTTTGATATAAGGCATTCTCTAAGAACATGCCGATTTATTATGTCAATTAATCTCCTCATGATCCCTGAACATCCACCCCTCTCAAAAGACGGATATCCTCCTCGTCGCCTTCCGCATTAGCCACAAGAAGCTTTACGCTCAGCAACTTTCTGTATAGCCTCATCATGCTGTTCATTGCTGGTCCAGCCATTTTCGTTTACACCGCCAATGTGGTCCCGCCAGTGATTCACGAGCTTGTTCAAGTCAAACCACAGCCGTTCTGCTCATGGAAGCCATCCAATTCAGCGTCATTGAACTGCACCGGGCACGATAGCCCCTTTGCATTGGGTAAATGTGGCCAGTATTCGACCATACGGACTAATGCTCCTTTCAAGATAATTAGTTTCCCATACCAAAACATGTAATCCGCCGTTGGGCCAATGTAGAACATCTCCGAGTCGCGACTATTCTCGGCGCTGGCACCATACAACGCGGTGTAAAGTTCAGGAGGAACATCTTTCTTGAAGTAAATGCCCCAGTAGACCCGAAAGGGATGTCAAAAAATCTTTTCTCAATTTCAACAAAACTGGAGGCGAGTTTATGTAGGTCGCGCTTGTTCATGCTCGGCCACTTGGTCTCTAAACCAACACCTGGAGCCTTCTCCGTGACGATGTATTCTACACCGACAGATTGCTCTCTGAAGAGAAAGGTCCGTATACCTAGGGTACAGGCATACCTTTGGAGTGAAGATAATGTAGAGTGGCCGCTTCACTGGCGGTCGCGTAGTGCTTGGGCTCCGCGATCCGATATGGAACTTTGGCAATGGCCTCGAATCCGTCATCGAACGTGAGGAAAACTCGATTGAATCCCCCTTCGGCCATCTTGGTAAGACATTGAGCACGCCCGTGGCCAGGGCCGATATGTTTTTCTGCCTCACGTAGAAGTACAGTGGGGCCGAACTCGACGTAGCGCTCACGTGGCGCTCACCCCGTCGAATATTCTCATGTAAAGAAATCTAGCAGGGGTATACGAGAAAAGGTCTTGATTAACTGATTTACCTAGATGACAGTTGTGTTAGTACCTGATGGTTTGTGGTAGAGCTACTAGGATACTGACTCAGGGAACGGGAGTGTGAGTAGATTAAAAGCATGAATCACGCAAGATGGAAGACCAATAGCGTTGATTGATTATTCGGGTAGCCATTTCCAAGGCAATGCTCCAGTAGTGGATGCTAAATTCTAGAGCCTTCTTTGAAAGACATCAAGAGTGTCCGGAAATTGGGAACACGTGTGGATGCAAGGGATATACGACCAGCGATGGTTATTGCGAGACAAACATTACAACATCAGAATAATTAGAGTAACTTCTCTTGGAAATCATTTTTATCTCAACTACGGAGTAGAAGCTGTCATTCCTATGAGTGACGTCTCCTTTCCAATAGCCTTCAAGATAAGCAGCCACAGCTTAAGTACGGAACAGGCTGGGAGAGCAAGGGGGCAGGACGGAACAGGATATATATAATACGTGGAGATGCATTGAAAGCATATTTAAGTTTGGATAAATAGCGGTTCAGGAACTATAATCGAACTACTCCGTACAACAACTCTGTTACTGTTTTAGCTGTATATCCTAGTAGGTCCTGCCCTTTGTATCGTCCATTCAGTGGGAGAGTTGAAGTTGTTGGGGACGAAAACAGCCTTACAGTCAACAAATAAACTAGGACAAAGAAAATGAGGAGAAGTCTACGAGATTAATAATACACTAACCTAGAGCCTAGCACGAGCCGAGCAGGTTAGTATCCTTGCAATGGGCTGATCATTTCCTGTTTCTGTACGATGCGCAAGGCTGAGCCTGTTACCCTGACTCTTGACTCAAGCCTTGAAGTTGATCACCCGTTATGGGTCGTACAACCTATTCTGAGAATGATACGGGAGTACTATGGCGAACGACAGCTGACTCTAGTACAATAGAAGGCTATTTACATGGTTGAAATAGAAATTAAAGCAGAGAACCCATTGCTGGAGATGTCAAAGGGCGGAGAAGATCGTTATCTACGGAGGAATCCGAGACTCAGAATAACCATGAACGGGTCTCAGAAGGTCCAACAGCGCCCAGACCGCGTGGCTTGGGTCCAAAGCACTTCCATTGGTCGCAGATTTCAGCTCGACTGCTTATCCCTGTTGATTGTGACAGTTCAACCATGAAGGTACTTAATCGTACACTTCCGCTGGCGGTGGCACAGACTGTTTTCTGTGCTACACCGAGGAGGCATTCAGAAGCATAATATAGGAGTTCCCTGACATTTCTGACATTCTTGCATTATGAAATCAACTACAGTCGCTTCCATTTATCACACTCCCTACTGTCGCTTCAGATAATTCAGTACCGCCGTCATGGCGTCCGAATCGCAGCAGTCGAAGCAATATCTTCTGCCTCCCGTGTCCGAGTTGCTTCGTCGAGGCGACACCACTAATAATAATGATCATAACGATAATGAAGACGACTCATTCCTACCCAAATTGTGGAATCCCTTTGACCGCAGTCCTTCACCCGACCGCGACTATATCCGCTATCAGCCCGCCTCTTCTACAAACGACGACCCCGCTTCACCCCCGACACAACGCGATACCACCTTTGGCTTAGGAATCACCAATACCTTCCCTCAATCTCCCTACAAGAGCCCGAGCCCTGATGATGCCGACGACGGCGACCTCGCGACCAAATCGCCGTATCCCGAACCCTCGGAACCCTCGCCATTACAGTACCAGACGTCGCAGACTACCTTATTGCCGCATTCGCCGGAATATATAAAATGTCCAACACACCAGGGCATAGTCCAGAAGCGATTGTCATGGGTTCCCATCACAATCTTGGTTCTGGCGATCTACTCCACCATCTTCTCCGGCATCTACCTGGTGCTCGCGCTGGTCAAGCCGCGCTATGGCAAAAAGATCGGTGAAGACGGTGGCCTGGCGCCTTCCACAGCCAGCCTACTTAGTGCACTTTTCGCGAAGACCATTGAGCTGTCATACGTGACTGTCTGCGTCGCGTTTCTGGGGCAAGTCTTGAGTCGCCGGGCGATCACCAAGGGGTCGCGGGGGATTACTATCTCCGACATGAGCATGCGTACCTGGATCATGCAGCCAGGCTCTCTCATTGTGCACTGGGAGACGGTGCGGTACTCAGCGCTCACGGTGTTGGGTCTGATCACGTTGACCGCGACGTTGGTAGCGATGCTTTATACCACGGCAGCAGAGGCGCTAGGTTGGTTTGCTCTGATCAAAGATAGATGTGCATACTAATGGTAATAGTTGCGCCCAAACTGCGGATGGGCCCCGTCGAACCCCGGATCTTGGTCGGAAACGTGTCCACCGAATTCGCCAACCCGGATTACCTCAAAACCCATTGCTCGACCCCCGTCACTCTGACCACGGACCCGGAAGCGGCAGGCATTACCTGTTTGGACCTGGAACTGGTCGGACACGCGTACCACAACTACCAGGCATACATCTCTGCGTGGAGCGACCTGGTTAAGAATAAGAACTGGACATCGTCAGACCTCGCAGCGCGGCCGCCCCCGACCGGCTCGCTATACGATAACACCACCGTGACAGGAAGCTGGATTGACATTGGCAATATGACCCAATTGTCGTTCAAGTACGGTCGAATGGTCAACAACGTCACCGCCGCAATGCCTCATGCAGGAGTTATCGCCGCCGCGACCGACCCGCGGAATGGCATCCGCCAGCCGGCCGATGTGACCGGCGAAGGCAACTTCGAGATCGAGGCCTCGGTGCCCTCTCCGGCCATCAACGTCCTCTGTGTCGGGATGACGGAAGAGGAGCTCACCCCCTTAGTATACGAGAGGTGGCCTGGCGGGCACAACTTCAACCCACTGACCTGGGATTACGAGGGACACACAAACGTCTCCGTCGACTGGTTCAATCGAACGGTCGTCGATGACCTCTTCGGGTGGGACCCCAAGGCCAACGCTGACATCAAGCAGACGCCTCCTGTGTTTGGCAAGTTGCCCATAGCCAACAATACCATCACCAATAGCACTGGCTTTTGGCCCACAAACGCCATTTACATTCTAGGAGCAGCACCAAATGAAACCATGACACCGCCTTATGTACTATGCGCACTCAAGGCGAAACTGTCCCCGATGTGTTCGACCAAGTATTCAGCGGCTGCCAGTGGAGCGTCCTTTTCAACCAAGTGCGAGAATCCTGCGAATCCCTTGCAGTATAATCATCGCGATAAATCTGCCCGTGACGGAGTGTGGGATGCCAACTGGAAAAACGTGGCTGGCGAGTGGGCCAAATCATTGAGTTTGAATTCGGGTATCACAGACGGCCGTTCCAGCAATGCTCGCCTCCTGATGCAGTTCCTTCCGGCCCTCGATAATCGAACAAAGACCTATTCGCTTGACCCCAAGTTACCATCGGTTGGAGAGGCGCTTGCGGTTCTGGCAGGCAGCACCCTGCTCCTTGGGTCGAGGAACGCCCCTTTTGTGCCATTCTTTAACTACACCAAGACCGATATCGTGTCCTCTGCACTCGCCGAGCCCGTTACGCAGTATTTCGAGGCCACAGTTCGCGCCGTGGGATATGCTTCCGGGGGCACGGAGCAATGGCAGAACGTGTTCTATCTGATCCTGGTTTTTGCCTTTTTGACCAGCGCCATCATTCTCGCATTCATGCTGTTCGAGGTACGTGGACGACAAATCACCGACTTTACCGAACCTCAGAATCTGTTCGCATTGGCGATGAACAGCCCGGCCACTGCACAGCTGCAAGGGGCGTGTGGTGCAGGACCGCATGGTCGCCAGCTCAACGAGCGGTTCTATGTGGCCATGGAGGAGGAGGATGAGCATTATTACATCCGGACCAAGGCCGAACAGCATGTGCGTCCGCCGTCGATGGGAGCCAATCGCTCTATGGCCTCGATGGAAGTCGACGATATGCCGAAGGCTGTCAGTCCCGCCATGGATGAGTACCGGCGGCTTTCCAATAGGAGCAGTCTTTTGTCGAGATTTTATTAGGAATGCATGCTATGACCCGGCAAATGATTTGTGGTCACGAATGTAATGTTAATGTCATGAGATCTCCATGTGGTTTGAAGTTAATTTCGGGAAATACCATACTGTACAGTAGCTATGATGCCACAGATACTGTCTTTATTAGTAGTTCAACATTTCGCTGAGTTCTCAGACTGAATCCTTGTCCTTCCTGTACAAGGGGATAAAGTTCGCGTCATCCACACCGCTTGGCGTATGCATGGATACCACCTTTCAAGAATCTCAGACTGAGGTATGTTGTAGCAGGATAATTGAAGGCTTGGGGGGATCAGATCTTAGCTCTGGGACTGCCGACACTGTACCTACTGTGCTATACATGTGATGTAATTGTAACATTTAAGTATGCTCCTTCAATTCCACACAGACAGACTGTATGGTAATGAAAACGACTCCTTAAAGCAACCTCGGGGACCGCACAAACAGGTTTCTGGATACATAGAGCGCACGGAGATGTCAATTGAGGCAGTATACAGAGACTTAGATTCTTACAGGAAACTAGCCCCTCTAGCGCTCAATCATAGCCCCGCGGGTGCCGTCGTAGTTGGCCAACTCCGCCAAACTCGTAGCGTTGAGGAGCGCTCCTGCTAACTCCTCCAAGTCGGAGGTAAAAGGGTCCAGTCGGTTATCCCAGGCGATACTCCCATGCTCATTGAGCCAGAGGATTTTAATCAATCCAGACTCAATGGCCTCTCGGTCCAACAGATAAAGACCAGCCTGGAATTTCAACTGCGCTCGAATGACGTCGCGCCAATCTTCCTCGCTCTCCTCGGCGTGGCGCACCAAGTACTCATTGTTCTGCCCACTTCTGTACTGCATATTACTCCTGTCGCCATCCATGTCGATAATGCCACCAAAGTCCGTGAGGCCTGGAACGCGGACTAACACCTGACGCCATGAGTCCTCGCTACCGTTGTCGAAATTATAGCGGGTGGGGTCATCTAGGACCTTATCCTCTGGGACGGCCAGTCCAGGCACATTGGAGCTCTGTTTCATCTCTTCATATTTGCTCTTAAGATTCAGGTCATAGCATGTCCGCAGCCAGACGGTCTGCCAGCCATCACTGCTGACCACACTGACATTGCACTCGTGTACTGTCTGATGCGAGGCCAGAACGCGCGTGATCTCCTCACTGATTTTAGGTGGAGAGCACTCAGATTCGGCACGATGCTGATAGGGCTGGGAAGGGGCAGTCAGACCTTCCTGTATTTTGATCTAGTGGGGAAAGGAACGACATACCCAGCGTTCCAGCAGAGTCAGTTTCTGCCATTCCCAGACAAGTCGCTCCCACTGTTCCTGACTATCTCCCGAGGCATCGTGATCCCAACGTTCCTGTGTGCCAAGGTCAAACGAGCACAAAACGAAATGAATACAACATGTGATTCGGGGGACCAACCGAGACGAAGAGGTCGAATGGTAGACAGCCGTAATCGGCTCGGTTTTCCAGGATTTCCTCGGACATTCGGGACCAAGACAACAAAGTGGAATGCAAGGAGGGATTAAAAGGAGAGAAGAGATGGAGGGGTACGCAATATCAGTTATGGCCTGACACCGCCAAGGTTTACTGCATCTGTTCATATAGTGGGCCACTACGGGATTTCAATCCGTTAAATCATTTCACCTTCCTACCCTTCAGCAGCCGTTACAGAAGAGCTCAAGGTCTTTAACCAGGCAACAAAGCAAGTGGAGCAGAAGATTGACCTTCAAGGGTTGAGCATTACAGAAGATGCAGCATTCAATTCTTATAACAATCAGCACGACATATGCCTTGATGGAACTCAGGCTAAGCTCCTCCACAATATTGAAGAGTGGGCAACATCACCAGCCAGCAAGTGCATATTCTAGCTGAATGAAAAGGCAGGTACTGGCAAGTTAACAATATCTCAAACCATTGCAAGCCAGCTTCAATGGCGAGGGTTACTCAGAGCAAGTTTCTTCTTCATAAGCAACAAGAAGGATGATCGAAGCGATGCTAAGCAGCCTTTTCCAACTCTTATAGGACAGCTAATGTTTGTTATTCCACAACTTAGACCCAAGATCCAGAAAGTGATACAGAGTAATCCTTTCATTTCAGAAAAGACGCTTGGGGGCAATCTAACAAACTAATAACTAATTTTCAAGCCGCTCCTTAATGTGGATCTGAAACAAACTGTGACCATTGTGATCATCATTAATGCATTGGGTGAGTGTGAATCCAGTATATACAATGACACTCAGGCTATCCTACGGCTTTTGTTACAAGTGCAATTATCAAAAGGTATTCAGTTACAGTTTCCTCTGACTAGCAGACCTGAATCACCAATCCAATGGGTCTTCGATGATAGCCCTTAGCAAGGCCTGGGATGCTATTCCAGCTGATTTTCTGGATAATCTACTAAATCTATCCCTGAAAGCTGCCGTGCAGTTATTGAGACAGGTCATACTAAGTTTCAATATCATTGTGCGTGGATATAAGCGCGTGGATATAGGCCAGAAATCCATCTTTATCAGTGTAATCCATAGGGATACGAGATCCACCCAAGAAACGGATAAACTGGACAATAATATGCCCTTGGATGATAAAGAACAGGAGATTGAGACCGCTCGAGGGAAGTTAGCCAGCAGACAGAGCGAAATCTGTTGTAGCTTCCATGGTCCGTTCAGATGGCAAAATAGCGTTCTGCAAGGCACCCAACAAATCCGGGTCCAAGCCCCAATCACCAACCCACTGATGCATGCGGCAACCTTGCTTGAAATGATCGGCGAGATGATCCCCTCGTGCTGTCCAGGTGGGCAATGACGCGTTGCAGAATCCACAGCGACTGCGGACGTCGCTCCTGGCACTACGCCACTGATCCAGATTCTCAATCGGCAGTTTGGTACATCCATGAAACTTGCGCAAGTGCTGCCAAAGATAGTCCTTCCGACTGAAAGAACGATCTGCAATGGGCTTCTGCGCGCATACTTCGAACTCGTGGTCATTCCAGTGATCTATAGACGGCGCGCTACGATCGCAGAATCGACATTCCGATGGTAAGTTGCCGGGCCGGAGGTCGTTGACATCTGGAGTGCAGATCCATGCGTCGAGTTGGAGGTGAACACTCTTCTCATGTCGGAGCCAATCATGCTTCTTCTTAAAAGACTGCGTGCAGAAAGTACATTGGTATTGCCCTTCATTCATTGGGCCTCTAGGCCTAGTTCTTCTCCGCCGGGCCCGCGGACGTGGGTGATGAAGCGGGAACGGTAGTGAGCTGTCTCCGGAGTGGTGGCTCCATGCGGAGGAGACGCTTGTCGAGCTCTCTGATTGCCTACTTCCCATGCTAGGGATGGAAGAACCGAGATGCGACGATGTCTCGTCGAGATTCAGGAACGAATCGAACATGGCGTCTTCGTGTTCCGAAGGAGGTACTACCTCTGAAGAGGATATTGCATTCATGATGACTGACTCCGGTACTGCTTCCTCCTCCGGGGGTGAATTCTGCCATCTCTCCATCGGCGTCATGAGGGTTAGCCGGCTCGCTGGCATCGGAGATCCAGACCTGCAGATTTGAGCCGCTGGAGTTTCAAATCTCTCCTTCTGGCGGCGGCGTGCATTGGCAAACCATGTTGACATGCGCTTTCGTGAAAATCCAGTCTCACGGACCAAGCGCGCTTTCTCATCTTCGGAGGGATACGGGAAATCATGGTGGTCGCGGAACCATTCCTTCAATATCCGGACGCCTCTTCTGACGAACTGCTTGGACTCCTTCTGCTTGTCTACACAGTTGACGTTTGGTGCCGATGCCTCTGCTTGGTTTCCCTACATGTACGTTAGAAATGCCCGATCAGAGTATTTGTCACCGCGTACCTCGTCTTCCTCGAGTTCGGTGACACCATGCAGGTGGCCCATCACGGGAGAAAGCGTCTCGAACCGAGATGGTTGGCGTTTTTCTCCACGGGCCAGGCTGCACTCCCGAAATAGAGCAACACAACTGGAACAAGCGGTTACTGGATTCGGATTCGCTGGTGTGGTACGGAGGATGAGGCACTGCAGCCGGTGCTTCCGGCAGTAGGTGCAGGGCTGTGGAGGGCAGTAGGCTCCATCTAGCCACTGAGTGACGTTTGACATGCTTTGCGAGACAACCACAGGCGTCTGAGTTTGCATTTCCGACCGTATTTCCTCACTCGTTGTTGGACCGGCAGCTTGCAATACTCCAGGGTTCTGCCTCGTAGCGGACGGAAACAGTTCCGGCGTCTCTGGACCGTTGGCGTCGAACCAGCTTAGCCACTCATCATTTGCAGACTCTGATGACAGATAGTACATGTCATTCAGCTGGTTCATATCAAGCGTTGAGTCATGTTGAAGGTTGTTGCTGAATAAAGTGGTATCAACCGTGTCATCGGCATTAAACCATGTGCCATTCTCCGCTGGATTAGGAACGGGATGTGAGGATAAGGAATTCATATAATCTGGATGATCCATCATGCTTATGCCTATTGAGAGTGACTGTAATCAGGTCATATTCATTATGCGCAGATGAAGACCGATATTATTGACGAGCACTCATTCCCCTCTCCTGATATTGAAAAGTCATGTGATTCCCAGAACCGTTCAGCCGAGCTCAAAGCGGTTAGGCCGTCTGACATATCACGTGTTACCGTACAGAGTCAATTGCCATGGATATTGCTAGCATCAATTGCAAGTAGAGTGCCCAAGTCTATACTTACTGTTTGCCGTCATTCATTATGTCAAACACGCCGTACATCCATATGGATCTTTTGACCTATCCAAACGCTGCACTTGAACGACGTTCAGTATTGCCTGGCTCATCTTCGTTCTTTCGAGGGTGCTCGTCTACAATATCCTCCTGCCAGATGGGAATCAGGCTCCCCAAATGCCTCGACCCTGTTTACTCTACCGTTTACAGCAAGCTCCTGAAGCATTTACTGGATCTGGCATTGTTTACGGCCTTGTGATGTGCCTGGAGAATGGTTTCCACCAAGGCGCCCTGAATATCAGGAGCCTCTGGCTAAGATGAGCAAGGCCATACGCGTCTTGCGTACGTCTGATTATGCTATAAGGCCTGGAGTAGATGCCAGAAGCTCGTCCAACCTTGTCCTTCCGGCTGAACAGCGCAGTTCGCTGCTTAGGAGGTGTGTCCCTCAGCTGCCGTAAGTGTCCAGATACCATAAAGTAACTGGCAAGGTGATATTCCTCTATTTACAATAGAACCAAACCGCGGGATGCATTAGTAACTACTGTAGGTAATAGCATACACCCGTCTCCTACTATCTGACTCCCATTACTTCCACAATATCAATCTGAACCCGTCAGTGATGGACTACCGCAGGGTCTCAGCTATATATGTATTTCCATGTCCAATACCAAGGATGTTTTTAGGGACCTCAGGTACTTGTGTATGCATCTGGAGAGTCTATGGAATGATAGTCCAGATCAGAAGAGTTCTAGTCACTTTGGTGTTGAAAGAAGCATCATCTTGTCTTCCAATAGTCCGTCTATTGTACAGTTTCTACGTCTCTATAATCCATGAAACATCAATTTCAAGCACAGAATTCTTGCATCAATTTTTCGAAAACTCTGCTCATCCCTTGGAGACTGTCGACCTCCACCCATTCCTCCTTGCTGTGTAGTCCGGCTCCTGATGGACCATATACTATTGCAGGGACTCCCACTTCACTCAATAGAGCCGCGTCGCACCAGAAGGGTACACTGACCACTCCAGGACAGTTTCCCAGGACCTCAGTGACACATGCTGCAGCCTTTTGGGCTAGAGGGTGGTCCGCTGAGAGCTTCTGTGTCGGACGCGAAACAGTGAGGCGAGGGGGAGCATATCGAAAGCGAGGTTTCTCTTTTGCAATGTCGCTTAACAAAGCATTCATGTCCTCAAGAATAGACTCGTTGGATTGGGCAGGAATCGTCCGGAACTCGATGGTGATGGTGCAACGTTCCGGATACGAGGAAGGTTCCTGACCTCCCTTGATCAGTCCACAATGTAGAGAGGCCTGTCCCAGGGCATCGTCGATGGGCAGTCGCTTCTGATACTGCTCCAGAGATTGCAAGAACCAACCTGCTTGAAGGATCGCGTCCACTCCCGCTTGAGGATCTGAGCCGTGCGCGGCAACACCTAGAATGTCCACTTCCACCCATACGAACCCTTTATGTGCAATTGCAATCGCCCCCATGGTAGGCTCAGGAACCACGGCAGCATCTGCACGCCATCCTGCGGCAATAATATCGCGTGTTCCCTGGGAAGCATCTTCCTCATCGGATACAGCGGCCACAATGACATCTCCCCGAAGGGTGCGACCACTGGCTTTAATCGCTGCGAGAGCTGCCAAAGCAGCAGCCAGTCCACCCTTCATGTCCAGACTACCCCGTCCGAAAATCACTTGCTTGCCTTCCTTCTCGCCCAAATGGCCAGACAACGGGTCGCATTCGTAGCTACTCAAACTGACAGTGTCAATATGGCCGTTGAACATCAACGATTGACCACCGCCACTCCCACGCAATACGCCGACGATGGATGGCCGACCGGCAACCGGTTCGACGCGATGATACTCTATCCCACGATGAGCGAACCACGCAGCGAGATAGTCGGCGATCTCGGTCTCTCCCACACCGTCAGCTACAGAGAGTGTAGGGTTGGATGAGTTGATTCGTGTTAGGACTTGCGTCAAACCCACAACGTCCTCGACGGCCACATCGCGGGGAAGGGGATATGGACGGGCACCTTCGGTGCAGAGGAGTACCACCACGGCGTCCCTATGCAGTAGTGATGCAGCCTGGGCTGATGCTCTCAACCGCCGGATTGCAGCCAAAGATGCTCCGCCACAAGGACCTGCGCGTACGTTATTAGATGCCAAATACTGCACCGCGCAGTGACTCTCATACGATGAAACTGTGACTGCAGCATCTACTACTCGCTGCAGATCGGGCCACGCGGTGGCTGATACCGTGCCACAATTCATTCCATTCATGATCGTTTCTGAAGACTTGACTGTGACCATCGTGCCCGCCTGCAGGCTATTGATCAGACAGGGTCCGCTGTCTGGCTCAACAGCCACGACAGCAATCGGGGGCGTACGAGACTTGCAATGTCTGACTACGGCATGCCCCAGGCTTCCAACTCCCACAGGGATAACAGTCAGAGTGCTTTGCAGACCAAGCTGGCTTAGCTGTTCATCGATCTCCGTCATCATTGTCGAGTAACCCTCCACAATCCATGCCGGGACCTCCTCGTATCCATCGAATGCGGTGTCTTGGACCAGTAGTCCACCATCGTTCTGTGATGCGATCCATGCCTCTTGGACTGCCTGATCGTAGTCGCCGTTGCTGATGACTACCTCAGCGCCTTCGGATGCAATCCGGTTACGCGTCCCCTCATCCATTGATGCGGGGACGAAGATTCGCGCCGATACTCCGAACTGTCTTGCCATAAAGGCGACTGCTCGTCCGTGGTTTCCTTCGGTAGCTGCAAAGAGAGTGACGGGGCTTTCCGTGAGCCGCTGCTTCACATCTTCAAGAGCGACAGTCGGTGATAACCCCAGATGAGACACCACAGAGCGATAGCATCCCCATGATGCGCCCAAAACCTTAAAGGAAGGTAGTCCGAAGCGGTTACTCTCGTCCTTGACGAAAATCGCCTTGACCCCTAACTCGGCTGCAATTTCAGGGAGTGAGACCAATGGTGCTGGACGGTAACCAGGGAGAGAGTGATGGAAATGACTGAGGCCGTGGATGGTCGAGAAATCGCAGCGCTCGTCCGCCGCCGAAGGATTCAAGTATATTGGGCGACGCGACATCTTGCCAGGGGAAACGACTATTGCAATAATTAAGCAGGATATGCATGGACCTATGATTAGTGCTGTGTACATATATATGTAGTAATATTTTGAGCTGTCCTCTCGGTGGGTCTCTGTGCCTTCCGACTCCAAGAAGCGCCTTCTACGAACATTCTTGAGAGTGGGGAATATTGGCACAGAAGGAAGAAAAAGCTAAACTGAGATAAAAAGGGCGGATGAACTGTTCTGTGACACACTCACTATTGCCGACGTTTCTCAATGGTTCCGATATGTCCCTTCTAGTTGTGTTGTATAAGAATCACTAGGTCTATAATAGGTGACGTACCCTTACACCATTCCGTACAGTCCTTCACCAGAGTCTACATTTGTGAGTTTACTAGAATATAAACGTCTACTCCTCTGCTAAATATATCCAATACACTCACTTTCATCATCTCAGATGTTTTGCGCCTTAGTACGGTCGTAGTGAACCACAGCCTCGAGCAGGGTTTGAGCACCCAATGCACTATGAGAGTTAGCATCCAATTATGACAGAATACGGGCAGTCACTTACCAGTGCTCGGGACTACAGTACTCCGTTGGATGGTGACTGACGCCGTCGCGGCAGGGCACAAATATCATGGCGGTCGGACAGTGATGGCTGGTATACACGCTATCGTGGCCAGCGCCGCTGGATATGTTCATCCGCTGATCGGGACCAACGAGATGGTTGGCCGCTGCCTGGATGGACTCGAGGCACTCTTGATCAAACTTCACAGCCGGGGAATCAGTGTCCAACGTCCAGTCGAAGGTGACTCCTTTTCCGTCCTGAGCGGCAATGGCTGAGAAGGCCTGCAGACATTCTTCTTGCACTGCATGTACCACACTATCCTGCGGGTGTCGGATATCAAGCGTGAAGGAAACCTCGGATGCAACCGTATTAGTCGATGCGTTAGGAGGTATCCTGAAAATCCCAGTCGAAGCAAGAGCATTGTGCTTTTGAGCGATGTCATTTGACGCTGCAATCATTCGCGAGGCTGCAAGTAGGGGATCCTGACGGGCACTCAAGGGCGTCGTGCCTGTGTGTGCATCGCGTCCCTTGACTGTAAAAGTAAACCACCTGTATCCTTGTGCGCCCTGGACGACGCCAATGGAACGTCCGGTCTCTTGTAAAATGGGGCCCTGTTCGATATGCAGCTCAAAATGCGCTGCGAGGGGATAAGCAGTGTGTGAGCACTCGATTTGGCCTAGAAATCCGTGTCTCTCGAGCTCGGACTTTAGTGTGACACTTGAATCATGTATATCACGAAGATCCCAGGCCTTCTCGATCGGAATGGCTCCAGCCCAAACCCCAGAGGAGCACATTGACCTGGGGAATCGAGCTCCTTCTTCACTGCAGTCAGTTAGAAGAAGTACGAGAGGACTAGGGAGCAGGGTCGCACTTTGTCCAATTGACAATTCCTACATCGTAGTTGGTCTGGAATCCGTTCTCCTTCATTGTTCGTAGCACTTCCAGCGCTGCCATCACCCCCAGAATCCCATCGTACCGACCACCCCGTGGTTGGGTATCAAGATGGCTTCCCATGGCGATCATGGGGGAAGATGTCTGCAACTTGCCTTTCTGGCGTGCAAACATGTTCCCCATCTGATCAATGGACAGTGAACATCCGAGTTTTTCGACTTCTGCGGCGAACCATCGCCGCACACGGGCATCGTTATCATCCAGCGTGAGACGAGCCATCCCAGTGTCCGTCGGGTTCCTGTTTGTGATGAGCTCTACTCTTCAACCGGAAACTGACAGTTCACGTACTCGCCATGACGATGAGCAGCTCCCCACTGACATGTCTCATGTAGCGTTTCCCATAACCTGTTGGCGTTGATCTTGAGGCCTGATCCCTGACATGCCGTGGACAGCCCCCGCGATGTGCGTCTTAATAAATGGTAGTTAGAGCGACTGAAAGACTGCATGTCGGTTATTTTGCGACTGCTAAACAAGAAAGAGTTGATTCGTGGCCGGTCAGTTGATCAGTTTAGCCGTCGCTTTTATTTTGCCCTACGCCTTCTGTGGACAGCTGTGGTGGAATGATTCCGGAACAACCCAAAGATCCACTTTTCCGGAAAGCTTTTGAAAAGCGATTTTCCTGAATTAAATGGGAGTTTTGTCCTTTTCTTTTTCTCTGGATGGCATGTATGTAGATAGAAGGCGCTGGTGGAGATATATTCAAGGGACGTCAAATTGTGGACACCGATAAAAGCGCCTTCCACCAACATCATTACATTAGAACATGGTCTGGCGGATCTCACGGACAACACCAGGCACTCAACCTTGATACATAACACTCTCTACACAACAGCAGACCACCTCAAGAAGTTTTCTTGGTGTCTTGCACATAACACCGATCGTCAGATCCTTCAACCTCCTTTACCAATCTCTCCATCTCCTCAACTTGCCGCTGGATCTCGGTCTGCTGGAGCCGTTGTTGCCTGTTGAACAGCTCCCGATTTGGCCTGCGATAGCTTCCTCCAATACGGTCCCAAAGCGTGGTGAACTGCCCGTAGTTGTAGTTGAAATAGTAGTGGTGAATCGTGTGGCAGGCCGATCCATTAATCACGGGTGAATCGAGAGCGTACTCTCCATCATCTGGGTATTCATCGCAACATAAGCATCTGACAGCTTCAGAAATTAGGAGCTCAGGAGACTCACGAATCATGACAGTCCAGATGGTCACAAAAACAAAGAGACCCAAATACGCCACCTTCTGCAGTGGAAAGAGAAACGGATAGATATGGTACGGAAGACTCTGGCACCAGCCGTCCACTGGGTGGAAAGCATAGCTCGCATAGGGGGTGGAGATGATCCACCTGTGATGCGGCTTGTGCAGGCGTTTGTAGATGGCCGGATGATGGAGTCCTCGATGGATCCAGTAGATGGCAAAATCGGTAAATGCGATAAAGAGCGGGTACTGTAGGTAGGTGTAGAGTGGGAAGGGACTTCCGGTGGCAAAGTCGTACAGCTTGCTGTATCCTCGCACTTCGGCCAGAAAGAGAGGAGCAGTCAGGGCCGCCATCACGGGCATTGCGCGCAACGCCTGCCCAATTTCAAGCCGTATCTGATGGCGAAGGAATTTGGGATGTTGCATGGCACGTTTGTCGAAGACCAGAGCGAAAGAGAGGGTGGCAGTAGTCAGGTAGAGCAGAAGACCAAAGGCCCTGAGACGATATCAATAAGCCGGCCAGCTATGACCCTGGTCTAAACACAGATTCAAGACTAACCAGATCGTGATGAAAAGACTCAGACACTGCCGGAGAATATCGTTCCGCGACAAGCTGCTCTCCACAGCGTATTGGGATGGAGTGAGGGTGACATATCGATTGATATGGCGGTTGTAATCAAGCAGCGAGTCCTGGTCCAAAAGGTCAAATGACTTGGCTGGTAGAAGAAGCGCATAGAACTTGTCGAAGAAAAAGGTATCCAAAACATCAAGCACAACGTCCATTATGCCGCTATCTGGTAATTCCTAGCAGAAAAATTTTGACACTAAATTGAGAGCGCCGGAGGAATAGTCCTTGAGATATAACAGCTGATCGTCCTTTGGCGCACTCGGTAAGTCGGGTTCCGGGGTAGGACGATACTGACTTACTGAGTCCACTGCTGTCTTCAGCAGAGACAGATCAAGGTTAAAAGAGCGCGTCCAGGTTCCTATTATTGTGCCTTGATTGTTTGGTTGAACGCATTGGATCATGTTTACTGTACGCAAAAAGCCCAGACAGGCTGGGAGGCCCATTGTCACCAATGCTTCAAGCTCCTCGTGACTGGAAGAGTATCAAGTGGAAATAGTGTATCATTTGAGATTGCAAGTCCAGCTATCTAAGCAATGCATAACTTACTTATGCCCTTCAATCCATACCGAAGCAGTAGACAACGTCGTATAAATCATAAAGACGAAACCCAGCACCACCATTGTAAGGTCGCCAAATTTAGCCAGGGGGGAGTCTGCGACCCCCTTCCAGTGCAAGTACGCCGGATAAATGTAGACCAGAGGAACACAAGCAAACGAGCCGATCAACGAGACAAACTTGTCCAAGTCAGCAGCACCGACGGCCGACATCACAGCGCAAGCCAGCACGATCAACGATCGGAAGACGTTCTTTTTCCATTTGATCCAAGGGTCTCGCTTGCCCGACACCTGACCAAACAGTTTGCCCTCCATGATCCGAACGGCGGGGAACAGCTGTACCGGGACACCGATCAAGATCGCCATCGAGTAGAGGAACTGCATAGCGTTCACAAACTTGTCTCCTTGGGGAAGATTGTTAATGACTTCGATCTTCGTGTCGGAACCAAAGGCGCCGTAGGAAAGAGCGCCGACCGCGGTGAAAAGCACTGTGATGATGATCATGACAGTATAGAGGAGTCCGTCGAATTTCTCCGGGTGTTTCATGGACGATTGGATGGGGAGGATGAGGCCGATTCCTTCGAAAGTGAAGATGCAGGAACCGATGGTCAAGGTAAACGACTTGGGATTGAACAGTTCAACTGACGATGCCAACCCACGTCGGGACGCAATGGTTGCAATATCGTAGTAATAGATGTATGCAAGGCCCATGAGGATGAAAATATCCGCGAGGAGTGCCGCCGGTCCCAGTTTGGAGATGTTTCGGATGAATGCCAGCGGCACAAGAACAGCTAATTGGAGTGCGATCAGGATGTTGGTGGACAGAACTTTTTCGCTATTTTCAGCGACTGCTGACAAGACCGCCCGAACGTTGTCCGCAGTGAAGATGATACCTGTGCAGACAAAGCCAAGCTGGGAAATCGTGATGGATCCTAGAATGAGCGATCGGAACCGAGGCCCTGCTATACGCTCACCGATATCACCATAACCGCCCCCATGCCCTTTCCGACACTCCAGCAAAAGATGGAAGCAGAGGCTTGTGACCGCCGCGACCGTGACCAGAGCGACCGATGAGAAAAGAATGCCACCGTTACGAAAGGCCTTTGGCAGGAAGATGATTCCCGTCCCGATGAACGCTTTTAGTAGGGTGAAAAATGTCTTGACCCGAGACGCGTCCCCCGGGCGAAGTGCTCGAGTTGTTCTCCGCCGGCCCAGCAGAGGCCGTCGCTCGGGCTCATGCTCGAGATCTTCCGTTGCAATCGCAGACTCATCCTCCGTCTCCGCTAAATCCTCACCGGCGAAACTACCATACAGGTCGAGAAAATCCAGGAACGAGCGAGCGACCAGTGCATCGCTGGCCCAGCCCCTTTTCTGTTGTACAAAGTGCCGACGAAAGCTGCCAGGTTCCATGGCAGCCACGCCTTCTTCTATCACATCATCGGGCGGTCGGGCGGGATAAGAAAAGCTGGCGGCCCGTCTTTCTTGCAGAGCTTGTTTGGCCTTGGCCTCGAGCCGGTAGAGATCGCGATGGATATCACCGCCCAGGAGCTTTAGCGATGACTGTTGTTCGGGAGTGTCTGAACTGGAGGATGCTTCAGCTGCAGCACGGGCCTGAAGGGGAGATTCTTCATGAAGGGAGCCGGTGAATTGGGGATGAAGATGTTGTGATAGAATCTCGGCCTCTCGCTGGTCATCTCGAACGTGGGACAACGAAGGGGGATGGTCTGCCATTGTTAGCGGAAAGAGGATGGAATACTCTGTATTGCCGTCAAAATTAAGATCAGGTGCGATTGAGAAAGAACTAGGAAATATCCCGAATTTCGAGCGACAAGACAAAGAGCCTCATTGTGCAGAATTGAGGTTGATGAAATGGAGATGCAACGTGCCAAAGTGAAGTCATTCCATTCGACACCGGGCAGCAACTTGATGGATCTGGTTATGCCTTGTTTGAGGCGGAGAGGAAAGACAGAGAGAGAGAATGGAGAAAAGATCCACAGGGATCTCGATGGTTCTGCGCCACTCTTGCTGACTCAGCTGCATAGTATAACGTAATCCACGGCCGAGTCGTCCACACGGCCGTCCCGTCCATTTTTGCGCCCATCTTCTACAATCATTCTTCAACACGTTGTTTTTTCACTATTACTACATAAAATGCCGCTCTCTCAAGAAAACCGGATGCAAATGGCTATTGCAGCTTATAAAAGCAAAAAAGTTCAATCAAAATCAAGGGCTGCAGCCATATTTGGAGTGCCTAAATCTACCTTCCTTGATCGGCTCAAAGGAATCAATCCACGGTCAGAAACACGCGCTAGTGGCCATAAATTAACAGCAATTGAAGAGGATGTCCTTGTGAAGAGACTGTTGGATGCAGATAAGCGAGGCTTTCCAATCCGTCCAGAGTTTCTGCGTGGAATGGCACAGACTTTACTTCGTGAACGTTCCCAAGATGCTACTGCAGTCCTTGGAGTTAACTGGGCCTCCTCCTTTGTTAAACGCCGTCCTGAACTACGTGCAAGATATAATCGAAGGATTACATACCAGCATGCAAAGCAGGAGAATCCAAAGGTTATAAAACAGTGGTTTAAAGCTGTACATGAAGCCATTCAGGAACATGGCATTCATGAAGATGATATCTGGAACTTTGATGAAACTGGCTTTGCAATGGGACTCTGTACAACATCTAAGGTCATCACTGCTGTAGAGCGCAGTGAGAGACCTCGTACAGTCATCCAGGGCAATCGGGAATGGGTTACTATCATTGAATGTGTTAGCTCTAAAGGGCTACCTATACCACCAGTGGTCATCCTGAAGGCAAAACAACACCAGGCTGCTTGGTATCAAGAAC